TATCTATCTATCTATCTATCTATCTATCTATCTATCTATCTATCTATAGCTCTATCTATACATATATGCTGTACATATACATACATACATATATACATACATACATACATACATACATACATACATACATACATATATTGCCTCATTAAAACCCACCAAACATTTAAAAAGTCTTGAAAAAAAATTATTTTCCCCAAAGCTCCTATTACCCATAGAGTTTCACCCATCTATATTTTATGAAATAATAAAAGCGTTAATACGTACCACTTTGGGTAAACCATCTGGTCCAGTACAACCTGGAAAAAAATGTATATGTATGATATTTTGCACTGAAGAACATTCAAGTTTCATTATTTGATGTATAATATTTTATTATGTTTTATACTAGTCACTGGAGATAGCTTATAACATTTAAAAACAACACAGAACATTATATAAAATACAGCAATACATGCAGCAGCTGAGAAACCAAACCAGTCTAGAGAAAGCAATAAGCATATTAAGATTTTCCCCTAACACACTATGTCTGATGTCTGAAAACACCCATGGGCCTTCAGAAAGGCTAGAAGGGTCAGATCTACTCTAGTCTCAGGGGACTCATGTTCCAAATGGAAGGAGCAGCACATGAGAAGGCCCACTTCTTGGGTCTCACAAACGGACATTTTTTAATTGATAGGATCTGCAACTTACCTCTCCTGATATATTTAATGGGAGGGATAGACATGTAATTAAGGTAATGAAAATTTAATAGCTGACCAGCTGTTGTAAGGCTGTAAGCCAAAATGATGAACTAAGGATGAGTCAGCAGGGTACTGCTGCTTTAAGAAGCTGTCTATATAAGGGAGCCCCCCCCCCCTCTCTCTCACACACACACACCATGTTATATCTCTGGCATAACCTATTTAGAAAGCAAAGGGCTACTGACTGCTGAGATGTATGGAATCCAATGCATAAGGAAAATTGTGTGTCCATTTTGTAGATTTCATGGGCAAATAATAACAGAGATTCCTCATTTTGTAAGGATGCTGATTCATGCTAAATGATATTTATGGAGGGATTATCATACACTTTTCAGAATGTATTTGTGTAGGGAAAAATCCTCTGTTGAACAAAATCATCTCTGTGTGACAGAAGACTATGGTTTTATACATGCTGCATATTAATACAAATGATCTTTATTGTCCATGATCATTTACTCAGTTTTGTGCACTGCAGTTGATAGATATAGATCGGGCCTCTTTATCTATGGTAAATGTTTCACATGTCCATGTTATTGGGTGTTTGGGTTTTGATCCATCCATCTTTTATTATTTAAGTGATTATCTCCTTTCAATGAATAATTTCTGATCTTCTTTTCTGGAAATGACTAACATCACATCTAGCTGGCTGGTCTGTCCAGCAGTCCCTTTGCATTATGGTATCCTTCCCTTTGCTTAAATAAGAACACTTACCACAATCAGAAACACAGATATCTCTGTGGGTACTGAAGAGTTTGGTTCCATTTTTACAGAAGCAACCTTCTGTTATTCCAGTCTGTGGAGGACCACTTCAACAAAAAAGAAGCACAAATTAGAGTAGTAGTTGCACCCCAACATTACAAACAACCACACAGTGTGTGCAACTGATAAGAACAAAGGAAGGAATGAGCTATATAAGGTCAACCCAACTTTTTTTGAAATGGCTCAAGTTGATGTAACTGCTACTAATCATCAACCTTTTATCTTCCCTGTGAGAGAATTGGTCATGATAAAAGAGGAGTTTCAAGTCAATGAGGCTCAAACCCATGGCAGTAGACTAATTTTTAACACAGGTTAAAATTTATTGATTTATGAAACCATGACTGAAATAAATCCATAGAATTTTTCTTGCATCTGTAGAAGAATACATTTTTCCTGATAAAGTGGAAAGAAGAATGCTTATTCTCTGCCTGTGTTCTTATAATGTAGTCTAGAGGATTCCCCATCTCTTTAGAACATATGTTGGGAATACATATAATTTTGCAGACGAAGGGAAAAAATTTCAACATATTATAACAATAGCATCATAGATCATAAAGTGAGAAGAGCTACTTAGGCTCTTGAATCAAATTCCCTGCTCTGTGTAGAACTATAATTAAAACACTCCCAGCAAAAGGCTCTCTGAGATCTATATTTAACAGATAATCAGAGTTGGAAGGGACCTTATAGATCATCTAGTCCAATCCCTTGCCCAAGCAGGAGACCCTACACCATTTCTGACAAATGGCAGTCCAATCTCTTCTTGAAAGTCTCCAATTTTATATGATCTGCAAATCCTATAACAATGTCATCTTCAGCTAAATCATTAATTGAAACTTTGAAATATACTGGCATCCTGCTTGATACCTTCTATTTTGATGAAAAACTACTGATGAGCTCAAAGTGGTTCCAGCTAATGACATGACATCTTGCCCATATTTAAGTAGTTGGCTAATCAGAATATCAGATTTTGCTTTGTCAAATGATATGCTGAAATAAAGGGATGTGGTGGCTCAGTGGCTAAGATGCTGAGTTTGTCGATCAGAAAGGTCGGCAGTTTGGCGATTCGAATCCCTAGCACTACGTAACAGAGTAAGCTCCCATTACTTGTCCCAGCTTCTGCCAACCTAACATTCGAAAGCATGTAAAAAATGCAAGTAGAAAAATTGGGACCACTTTGGTGGGAAGATAACAGCATTCTGTGCACCTTCGGCATTTAGTCATGCTGGCCACATGACCATGGAGACATCTTCAGACAGCGCTGGCTCTTCAGCTTTGCAATGGAGATGAGCACTGCCCCCCTAGAGCCAGAAACAACTAGCACATATGTGTGAGGGGAACCTTTACCTTTAGTTTTATGCTGAAATAAAGAGTCCCGCACTGAACAACAGAAGTTACTCAATGGTATACATTTTGAGCATACTCAAAATGATCTAATCTGGCAAGATTTACTCTTGACCAAATTCATGCTAACTTCTAGTAATGGTGGGTTTGCTTTCAAGGTTTTTGACCATTTTGGGATCTGCCTCCAGAATGTTCCAGAATGTTCCAGTATCATTTTCAGACTGAGTAATCTGTAGTTTTCCTGCTCCCTTTCCAAAGATAACTTTTGTTCCCCCTCTCCTTCACCACCCATGGTAATCTGATACTTCATGTGGTCTTCACAAATAATTAGACATTCAAAACAACAGTAATTTCTACTGTTTAATCATTCTACTCTGAAATTTGTAGGTGTATAATATCAGGAGGCAGTTTCTTTCTATTATGCTCGATCTGAAATATAGTTAATTCAGGTACTCTTTGCAATTGCCTAAATCTGAGTACAAATAATTCCTTATTTATTTTTCTTTCTATTGCCTTTTCTTAGCATTTTGATTTTTTTTTCATTTTCACTGAAGAGCTGATTCTTTACTCTTCCTTTTGAATGTGATAAAAATTTATTCCACTTATGAAGTTTAAATGCATACTTAACATATTGTTCATTTCATCAAGACAATTATAAACTTTCACAGCTCTTTTGAGTTTTACTTACCTGTTATCACAGGTAGGAGGATTGATGGGGCCACATGGAACATATACTTTATCTGTAGGGCAGCTAAAGGCTATAAATGATATAAGAAAAATGTTCATCATAATATAGAAATGTATTTTCCATACATTTTGCATTTGGAAAAAAGTTTCAGCTCAACCTTTTATTCATTATCTTTCCATCCATTATTCAATTTACACTTGGGGAACAAAAGAAGAAAAATAAAACATCCTGGAAACTACAATAACAACATTTATTAACAGCATGAACATTTATAACATTTATACTGCAATAAACTGCCTAGACTAGAGTCATTGAGATGAGATGGATATTAATTAATTATAATTAATGAAAATAGCATTGTATGATTGTAAAATTATAAAAATGATTACTTGAATTAAATAAACAGAAATAAACAATAATTCCAGCCAAATGCATCTGTTATTTTTCACATAATTTTGGTTTTGTTCACACACACACAAACATAAATACTAACTTTTTATATAACTGTGCCTGAAGCTAGACATATTTCTTTCATATCTCAGTTTTTAATGAAATACATTGTCTATCTGGGAGAATGGTGGTTGAATATTTTTGTGTTTTTAAGAAAATGTTTAATTGGTAAATAAATCAAAACTTCTCTCTAGTATCCTTCTTTCTCTCAGTATCACTCTTTTGAGTGCCACACCAAATTCTCACTGAAGGTATATTTAAAAAGCTCAAAATAAGGGAGTAAGGAAGGAATGATTGTATAATAAGCAAACACAATAAGATGCCTTGATATCCCAAAACTTACAACATTCATCATTGGTCTTCCCTCGCCAATCGATACAAACACCTTTAGAGGCACAGAGAGAAGCATATATCTCCAATCCTGAACATTGCATGGAGATATTTTTCATATGGCAAGCATCAAAGAGACAGCCTTGGAAGTAGGGATCCGGGGGTATGATCTTATGGCACTCAGAGAAGATCCTGCAAACATACAAGAAATAGTTGTAAAATAAATATCTCTGAATTGATTTAGTCATTTAATTGAAACTTATTTTAAATCATGGATTTATTCTAAATGAAAAATGAAAGGGAATGATTAAAAAAGAAAGTCAGAACATGGAATTTCTGGTGCCAAAAAACCTTCCACAAGGTAACATCGACTATGAGGTTTTCCAGGTATAAAATCTTTCCAAAATCTATCTATTATAAAAGGTCAGTTTTCTGGAGTTCTGTGAACTTTTAGTGATTCTATAAATGTACATTAAACTAACAGAATGGAAAGGATTTAAAGAACATATTACTACACTTTTGGTTACAACTGGTATGACATTTTTGAGCACACTTTTTAATCAGGAACTGTGGAGGTTTTATCATTGGGGGAGAAATACAATTTGAGAAGGATTGTCTTTTTGTACATTATTTATTACTGGAGGCATTCAATGTAAAGAGAGGCAGCAAGGAAGCTGCCCCTCATTCTCTGTGTTGCTGGTTTGAATTTCCTAACTGGAAGATCTATACTCTTAGAAGTGCCATTCAGCTCATTTCCTGCTTATCCCTATTATAACTTCCTCCTCCTTTGCTCCCATCTTCATCTCAAACTGACAGGAAACAAAACCGCATCGTCTTTCCTTATTAACATATTGTCATAAACCATTTATCTGTTCTTTTGGATTTTGAACATATTTTTCCAGATCCTTGTAATGGACTTGGTTGCACTAACAGTTGCATCCGAATTGGATTCTGGTGAATGACTTGAGGGATTCTAGCTAAAGTTATCTAAAAATAACCCCTACAATATCCTTAGAAAAAATATTTTTCTGGTTAGATATCAGGCTGAGTTATCCTCTATTCTAGTTTTCTGCTTGTGGGTTTGGTAAATGGATATAAAGTGGCATAGCTGGATAGGTTATGCCTGCATTTCCATGCCAACCTTGCTAAATGAATGTGAGCATGTTTAGAATGTGACCCAAACTGTCCATTATAGAACTCTGCTCTTGTGAAATCTAATCTTATCCATGCTTGTTCACCAAACAGTTTGTATAGACTAGCAGCTATATATTCTATTGTAGCCTTTCTCAAATCTTCTATCCTGGATGAATTCTTGAAATAATTTTCAGGTCTCAAGGACACTCCGCATAAAATTATATCTAAAGCTAGCTTTGTATGTACACACACACACACACACACACACACACACACACACACGTACACACAAACAGTAGAATTTCTCTCATGTAACTCCAGTGGAGAAAGGCAGCTCAATTGTATGGCCCATCAAACAAGACTTACTATTGCAGAGATCTAAATTTTGGTAGAATTTTCTATTGTATCATATTCAAATTTGTAGACTAAGATAATGCATTTAGTTGAGAGAGAAACAGAGGGATGGGGAGAGAGAGAATTTTCTTTTTATCAGAGGACATTGGTCAGAATCCATAAATAGGATTCTTTGAGTGAAAAAGTTTCTGCTTAGGATCAGGATTTGTCTCTGCTATTGGAGCTTCCAACAAGCCTTCAAAATCTACTGGAAGATTCCTAAATCTTTGTAGCAGATTTGAAGATGTGCAAAGGGCTTCATAGATAAGAAGGATAATGGAATTCATATTACTTGGCAAACAAAAAAAAAACAAAAAAAAACCCTCATTTAATCCACCAATATGGTTATACTAGACAACCTATATCCTGTTTGGTCATAGTCGCAGAAATACTTCCTTACCTAAACAGAGAAACAAATGACCAACAGTGGGCATAAAATATAGGTGTGAAATGGGGCAACTTCCAAATTCCCACCAGTTTTATAATTGGGTTTCCTTGTGGGAATGTGGCAGGGAACATTGGAAATGTCCCTTCCCCTCCCCTCCCAATGGCAACTGTGGAGTGGGAGAGGGAAAGAAAGAGGGATTGCAGAACTGGCTGGGAAACTGCCATAGAATGTTGAAAATGAAGATCATGTGACTGCAGCAGCAGCCCAGCAGCATTGAAGCAGCCACATTTTTCACAATTTCATTCTCTCGGGAGTCATGAGTCCAGGAATATGTATGCCTTCTCTAAGTTACCATATTTGAGGTACCCTGGTTCAAAAACTGTTCTGTTAGGTTAAAGATAATGAAACAAGAGTTTTAGTAGTATCTATATTCACTGGATGGCAAAAATAAATAAAAAATGATTCCTATCTTACTCATTCAAAATAAGGGAACAGAGAGGAGCTGTGCTACATATTTCAGGTGCAGGTGTTATAATTTCAGTTGGTACAGGTGGTGTTGTTCCAACGCAGTAATCCTTTTTAGGATCAGGCACTTTCCAATGGGGAGCCATGTGAGGGCAATCTGTTACTTTGCCATTTGGTAAGCGACATTCGTCTTTTATATTGTTAGTGCAAGTACCTGGGGGAAATAACATGAAAACATATTTAGGGGACAAAACATTTGTGATCTCAGGTCAATTAAGCAGATAACACACATTGCAAGTATGGAAGAAGTGGAAGTATCAGAATGGCCACATAGTTTAGTGACTCAGGCAGCAGAAGATGTGGGAGAAAGATCAAGCAGAGGAAGTGCCATGGCAAGCAACACCCTGCATGGACTGTACCATCAACAGATAGCTGAAGTGTCAGACATTTGGAAATCCAACCAGTGGTGGAAAGAGCTGAATTAAAAGACAGCATTGTGGTAGTTATCATAGCAGCACAAGAACAGCACTAAGCACCAGATATCTATGAAGATTCTCAGTCATCCAGGTCATGATTGTCCCAAAGGTGCTTTTTCAAGAGGCAACTGGACTTTCTGTTTTTTTTTTCTTTAAGTCATTTAACTTGTCATCCAAGAAGACTCCTGAGCTGAAGATCATTTGTCTCTTAAAAAGCACATTTGGGACAAGCATCAGATACATAGAAGCAGGAGTTTACCCCACTAGGCAGGACCTGAAGTACAAGCTATGCAGAGAGGCTTCAGTCCAACTCACAGGGGCAGGGTGCAAGATGCAAGCAGGAACAGCATACACTAAATGGCACAAACAAGTAGTTGGCACTGTGTACAGGATCATCTGCTTAGTGTATAGGCTAGACACTCTCAGATTCAGATGGGAGATTCCACAAAAGGCTGAGGAGAATAACAGCCTTCTGTTTTTAGATCTTATACACATAAGATCCTGTGGGACTTTCAGATCCAGACAAGAGGACTGGCCAATTAATCAGACATCATAGTAGTAGGCCAAAAGACAATGTTGATAATAGATGTAGTGGTGCCAAGCGACAACAATATCAGGAAGGAGTATGAGAACTTGGAAAAGTATCAGCTCCTGAAGGAGGAACTAAAGAGGATGAGGAAAGGAAAGGCTAAAGTGGTCTCAGTAGTGGTTGGAGGAGCACTTGGGGCTGTGACTCCTAAGCTTGGAGAGTGGCTCCAACAGATCCCAGGAACGACATCAGAACTCTTTGTTCAGAAGAGGGTGGTGCTAAGAACAGCTGAGATACTGTGCAGTACCTTCAAACTCCCAGGCCTCTAGTAGAGGACCTAATATTGAGGAAGGCACATACCATCCATACAGGTGAGAGGGGTTACATTTTTTTAACCCCATCTATACCTTGGGTAAAGCAGATAACATGAATCCAATCTTTTTTTTTTTTAGTTCTTATTCAGTTTCACAATGCTGTTGGAATACTCTTTGGCTTGAGTTTCCCTTTTTCAATAAACAGCATGCACTTTCTTCTGCCAACAGACCACAATTTAAAAAAATGATGGTACCAAAACTTTGAAACACAGTACACTTAGAAGAAAGAGGAAGATGTTCTGCAGTTGTTTTCAAGAGGTGTCATAAATGCAGGAGAAAAACAGATTTTCAAGAGAAAATAGGAAGAGAACTTGCATGCTTTATCACGTGTTAGAGAAGAATGCAGTTTTTTTCTAGTTAACTATGACACCCTGTAGAACTCCTTCCAAAGCTTCTAGATTATTTTACTGAATACTCCTGGGGGAAAATATCATTTCTTTGGAGACAAATGATATAGTTTTCCATTTTTATTTACATCAGTAATTAGAAGTTCTAATATCGAGGCTGAATGAAAAATAAGTGACATTTTGGCAGAGTCAAGAGTTTACTAGAGAAACAAGTATTTTTTCTAAGAGCAAATATATAATATGTTGTTTCAACTACTTTAAATGAATAAGAGTTTGCAAATATTTCCTGGAATAATAAACGTTTCGATGGGCTTAAACCATTTTACTTACCACATTGTCCTTCAGTATTGTTGTAAAACTTGCTGAATGGAAGCTTTATTGAGAAGATTGTACCACTATAGGTGACAACGGTTTCCATTTCAGAAATTTCAACCACCATATTAATACCAATTGTGTAGATATAAATGCCATCTTTCTGGAAACTTGTCGTTATGAGTTTTCCATTGAAATAGATCTGCATAGAAGAATAATTTTGTATCAGGATTGTTTTTGATTACCCATACTTTTAAAAAATAATGCACCTGCATGTTAAAAATAATTATCTACACATTTTGGCTAGATTTGCTTAGTCCAATTATTAATTAAGAAATATGTATTTTATTTTTTTAGCAAAATAAAATTATTTGATCTTAGTGTGCATGTAACCTTGGAAAATCTTAGGGAGATTGGTTCTCTCTTCTGAGATAGCTTTCCAAGGATATAAGACATACATCTGCTAGGAAAGGCCACATGGATTTAGTCACGCTTGTGACTTTTACTAAGAGGTGCTTCAGGTAGTCACTAAACAGATCCTCTTTTTTTCCTCCAGGGATCACGGTGAACCTGAACCTGCTTTAAGACCCTGCTTTGCCTGAATTATTTATATCTTTACATCTATAAGCAAACCAAACCAAGTAAGTAGTGCATAATTATCAAATGTTTATAATATATCATAATTATTATGTATAAGAATGCTTTGTGCTCTTTTATGCAAAACTAACTTTACATATTTCTTAATAAAACCAATAATTAGGCATTCAATTTAAGAAATATCAATTCTTCCTTTTACCTCCATGCTGTGTTTTTGAGATTGTTATTTAGACTTAAGATGAATCCATCTTTGCATGTTTATAATTTGTTGTGTCTCAGGCATTACATAAAGTCTGAAATGCTGGACTGCCTCCTTTTCGTCCTGCTCCTCCTCCTGCTCCTCGTCCTTTTACTACTTCTACTACTCCTACTATCACCACCACCACTACTACTATTATATCTTCTTTCATGATTCATAAAAGTAACCATGTTAGATTTTTCAGTATTCTTTACTGTTCTATCAATTAGTTTCAATTTATAGTGATCTCCACTATAGATGAAAAGTAGCTTTTCTACTCCTCCTCTTTCTTACCTTGTTAATTTCTATCCCATTAAAATGCTCGCGAGTTAACACAATGACTGAAGATTTGTAGTGTATAATAATAGACTGGGGGCAGGAAAGTTGATCTTCTGTGTCACAGTAGTAATTACCAAGAAGGATTTTAAAGTTATCATATTTTGGTATAATTTGCTGCACCAATACATAAGTGCAATGGTCCAAGAAAGTGTAGTAGACTCCATCAAATGTGACAAAGTGGGGATCACCCCAGCCACTACAAATACCTGATAAATAAGAGAAAAAAAACAGGTGACAATTAGGACTTTAAAAAAATACTGTACCTAGAAATTAATATCAATGAAATTATTCATATATTATCAAAAGCTGATCAAACTACATTATTACCACAACTTACATTCACATTCATAGTGATAGCAACATCCATCCTTTGAGAAAACTTTTACTGGTGGGTAGCCATTTTCACAAACAATAGTCTGTACCGGTGGACACTCCACTTTACTTATCATAATGCTGTTGTTTTTTATACAAGTTGCTTTGGTGCAATTTTCTATCCATGTCTCACCCACCTGGGAATAGAAAAAAAAGAGTTTACAGTTTGACTTAACAAAGCTCTGTGTGTGTATTTATATATTTTATAGTTAAATTATGTTTCATGAGTAATAAGGAGGGAAGAGAACATTTTTTGCTCTGTCTAACTCAGATTTGACTTTTGGTCCCTATATTTTATAACTTAATTCGGAAAAATCTTAATGTCACAATCCTTCCTTTCCTTTCTTTAAACAAGCTTGTTAGAAAGGAGACACTTCTTGGAAAATATTTTCCCATCTGATGACATTCTGTTGAAGTGACTATCAGATACAGATAACTTGACATGATGTAAGAGATTTATTTATAATATCCCACTGCCCATTAAGCTTCAATTCTGCATCAGTTCAAAGCATTATTTCAGCTCTCTGAGTTGCATAACCTTTCTGTTCTTAAGTGGAATGTCTGGAATTTGACAATTGTGAAGTTTACCTCGGCATCCAAAATTCAGATCTTTTAAAATATTCCTATCTCCTGATCAGGTTGATAAACATGAAGTAGGAACCGAACTCATTGGGCAAAGTAAACCCCCAAAGAGGACAAACCTGGTTTTAAAATGATCCCATACCAAAAGGAAGGGTAGAGAGGAGGGAAAAAAATACATAAAAAACCCCAGATGATGCCCATCTATCTACCCTACTTTGTCAATGTTTTAGCTAAAGTCAGTCCTGGAGAGATCTTTTCCCGCAAATAAGCATAAATTCTCTGCACCCCATCACCATCACCCCAGAAAAGGAGGAGCTAGTGCCAGGATTTGTTTTTTAATGAAGTAATAAATGCTAATTAAAAGTTATTGTCATTCACAATCTCCCAGTTTCTAGCTTGGTGCCTGTAAACACTGCATCAGAATAGTTTTAAAAATAACATATATAATATAAAAATTGAGATATCACTTCCTTTCTGTTCAGAAATTGTAATTTGAATCAGTTCATGTTTGTTTCACATAATTCCTCATAAGGGCTTGTCTTTATAGCACTCTGGGACTGAGGGCTGGAGATGTATGAAGATGTATGTATGGAATTCCAGATCAGGTTAGTGTCATGTGCGAGATAAAACTCCAATAATCACATTTGGAATGGAGAAAGGTTAACTTCTCCTTCCCTGTCCAAAAACATCTAACATACCTCTGGAAATCACATTACACTGAAAACATGTTTATTAAAGATTACCTCCCGGGGTGGAATAGCATCAGGACAGCCTGGTGGTGGAGTAGTACCAGCAGTACTGGTAGTAGGAGTGGTGGAGGTGATTGTGGGAGTTGAGGTGGGTTTGGGTGTAGTTGATACACATGGCCCTTTGTATCTTTCAACAGAACATGTGCTACCACAAATAGCAAAATAAAGGCAGCCATCGCTGTCAGTTTGCTTATAAATAATTTCACCTGGAGGGGGGAAAACAACAACATTTCAGTAGTATTTGAGAAATCTATCAAGTAACAAACACAATGATACAGAAAAGTCTGCCACACCAATCAGAAAGGAGAAATGCAGAATGGGTATGTTGCAGATCCTGCAAGCCAAAGAATACTGGCTGGTGAAGGCTCAAAAAATTAGCTTCTTCCAAGTGATCCCTGATCTACTGTACCAAATATTTTCTAGTGATCTCTGCTCAATTGTATGGAAAATCTTCCCTGCATATACTGAAATGGGCCCAACTCTGTTAGCCTTTTGCAAGACCCTAAAAACACATCTTTTTTCCATTACCTGACGTCTAAATGTGTCAAGGTCCAAGTTTCCTCACTACATTGATAACAGAACGTTCAATTGCTACAATGTGTATTTAATTTGGATACCATGATTATTCTATTAAATTGTTTTTCGTACGTTTACTCTAATAACATTTTTGAATTGTAAGGAACCTAGACCAACTGTCATAGATGACTATAAAATTGAATAAGCAAATAAATACATAAAATTCAAAAATTTGTTGGCAAAAAGGTAACAGTTACTGTAATAAACACTTACCAGGCATATAAATATTTTCCCCAATTTGGCAAAAGCAATGACTTGTACTGCTTCCTATAGTGGTGGTTGAAGATGCAATACTTGAAGTGGATTGAGGTACAGTTGTGGTTATCACTTCTGGTGTCATTGTTACAATGGGCCTTGTGGTTGAAACTGGGAGAGTTGAGCTAGAA